GTAATTTATAACGTATTATTACCAACACTTTACAACGATCATTAAGTCATTGCATTAAACACAGCTTAACTTGAAAAATGAAGACGCATTTATAATATATTCTTACATAATTGGATCAAATAAATCACTTGTATCCACGTACATGAGTAGAGTATCATTTACAAGTTTCCTCCGATGTTCTAATTATCATGGGATTGAAGAAAGCTTTGGAAAGTCAAGAATCAATAAATAATCGAGCGGTCATAATGAAACTAAAACGTTCAAGAGTGGTTATCTCGATCCGACAGTCGCGGGCCCGATAAGTTTCGAAAGACTTTTGAAAAATTTAAAGTGACTAGCGCCGCTAGAATTCGAGCGTTAGCGCGACACACGCATACGGAAATACTCGCTAGCCAATTAACATAAGGCGCCGTAACATCGGGAGCCGTGAAAGATATTTATTTCTTCGATTGCGTTGCTCTGAAAGAATAAAAGAAAAAGAAAAGAATAAAGAAAAAGGAAAAAAAAAGAAAGAAAAAAAAAAGGAAAAAGGATGAGGAGAAACGTGAAAAAAGGAGCGACGAAGCGAAGATAAAAAAAGAGCGAGTATCTCCTCTAAGGTGTGCGTATACGCATGAAACGCGGCGATACGAGCGGAGAAAGTCGTTAAAATGCCCCAGAGGATTCGCGCGAATGGCTTACGTCAGGCTTGTTTATGCGTCGCAAGGGCGCCGCGTCAGAATTCGCGACTCGAGTCTTGACCGCCCCACCCCTCGCCGTCCCATCGCACTCCAGCCCGCCCCCTCCATCGCCGCCGCCAACGCCGCGACTTCTGGTTGCCGTGATACATCCGAAGGTACGAAGCTACGACTGGATTAACCATGGAATTTATTACTCATATTATTATTGGCGTCAATTTTTGTTTTTGTTTTTGTTTTTGTTTTTGTTTTTGTTTTTGTTTTTGTTTTTGTTTTGTTTTGTTGTTGTTTTTTATTTTTTTTTGTATTGTTTTCTTGTTTTGCTACTTAGAGAGGCACATGCGTACATTTCCCCTTTGTAGGGATTGAGTAAGGCCATTGAGTATCGGAGCATCGTAATTGCAGGGAAATTGATCCGTATGCGTTAATTTTGATGAATATGATTTTAATATACTTAGTGCCGAATTATCATTGCTCGCCAAGTTTAACGAATAAAGCAAAATAGTACATTGATCACCGTCTATGTTATTATGAGGTTATTTTTTAATATTATTCGTCGAATGTTGCCGACTGTAAGGAGATGCAGCAGTACGAGGTTGGCTAAACTCTCATGTATTATTATGTCAATTGGAGGGCACCAATTTTTCTCGTTCCTTTTCCAAGAGGCTGGGACAGGGAAAGTCAGTTTAATATTATAATCAAATCTACATCCCATCTACTTTCACAGCGTAGTTTAACGTCCTAATTACATTTTAATTGCAAGAATAAGTATGTTGTTGCTTTTACGTAAGGAAGCTATGATGAATTCTTTGTTTCAGTCTGACCATAATAGAAATGGCCATAATAGAATAGCAACTTAAGCAACATAATAATAATTCTAAATTATTATTATAAATTAAATCTTTCAAACGATTAACGCGTGTTTTTGCAATAACTCTTTATCAATAAATACATCTTCACTTTCAAAACGGCAAACAAATTAACCAGAATTTCAGCGGCGGCTAACACTAACGATAAGATGCATCGATGCCGTTGAATATTCCCTAAGAATTTATCACCACAGTCAGTACGAATGCAATTCGTTACTGTCAAATTAATCCTGCAGTGTAACAAAAACGTTAAATTGTACGTCAAATTTCAGTTGCATTTGCATCATCGACATCATCAATTTATTCGATTCTACGCGCATATTGGTAACAGTTGCGTTTTGTAAATAATGAGTTCGCATTACGAAAATACGATTGGTTTTCTTGTCCTTGAAACTTTTTTCCGTAACGGTGATCGGTCTCGTCACATTATTCCGAATATAAATCGCGTGATTACCGGTAACTACGCAAATTACGAATACAATTTTACATTAAAGCCGTTGAACTATAGGCTCCGAACCTCCGAATCTCTAGCTGCTTTCTACTGGCAGCATCGCTTTATCTTCCCTTTACTTGGCTTTTAAAATCTGTCCCGCGGTCTCGGTACGAATGACCGGTCATTTTTTACGCGACGGGATTCCCCATTGTGAGTATGCGAGCAAAATAATGAACGTCTGCGCCCCCGATTATTCGAGCATGCGAGTACACGAGAAGACTGTGAGCCGTGGGTTTCTCTTAGTGTAAGTCTATTTTAATATTAAATTCACTGATACACGAGGATTACCTTACGCTACAAGACATAATAATAAATATTATGTAATACAAAATGTAATACATAGTATATTTGCGTCAGATGTACTTTACCGATATAGAAAATGTATTTTACCTGTTTTTATAACTGGCAATTCATTTTAGAAGCTTGAGGCTTTTATAACAATTTTCATCAATTATTTTATAGAATATAATTTTGCCCACGGTAATGATTACTTGTGAATGATATTTAATGTTATACTTAATTGATAATAAATAAAATTTATATACCAGTAGAAGCTATACTTCATGTCCGAAATGCGCCGTCAAATAATAGAAAAAATTACGAATTTGCTTGCCAATTTATTTATTGTACAAATGCTTTATTAATATATTTAATCCTCCTCTAGCACATAATAATATTGAGATATTGCATATTGCATTAAACATACACTCATATCGTCGTATAAGTCGCTTCAGTTATTTTATCAAGTAACATTTGCTTTTAGCGTATTCTATACTTCTTATTCAATGACAATCGTTAAGAATATAAATTATTAAGAATAAAAAAAATGTTGTATTATTTATTAAACTATAAAATGTAATAGTTGAGAAAAAGTATGGTGCTTTCATACTAAAACGTATCGTTAAATTCTTTCTGTAATCGCGAATTTAACAGTCGAGTGAACATAAAAGAGAGCCCCGTTTCAAAATATAATCTTGAAATTGGGAATATACGCGACGATACGAAAATTAATGTCTTATGTGTATTTTTGGTTATTCCATGCTGTTTACTCACCAAAAAAAAAATTGCAACTTCCATATATCCCACGACGCGTAGCCTCTCATTAATAGCTGCGCAATCTTTGCATGAAATTTCAATCGCACAAACAATGGATACTTTATTTAAATTGAACGCATCTCGATCGACAGAGGTAAGACATTGATGGGATACGTTTCAATTTGTACTTGAGATTTTCGATCTTTTATTCGGCATATAAAAAAGCGATCGCTTTATGACTTGTATCAGAAAAGAATGAAAGAATGAAAAAAAAAAAAAAAAAAAAAAAAAAAAAAAAAAAAAAAAAAAAAAAAAAAAAAACACGTTTTTCGAGATCTTCAAAACTGTAAACACGTAAAAAATTAATTTCAGGAGACTCGAGTTTCTCGATCGATTCCTTTTTTCAGTTCAAGGCTACATTTTTCAGCAGTACGATAATAATTGTAATGAAGCAATGCTCTAATTAAGATAAAAGAATGGATGGTTTATTAATGCCCAAATTATAAATTATACGATTGATTATGATAAATTAAAGCAGCTATTTAAGTTTTTTCAATTCTACATGTGGAAACTAAAATGAATATTTTTTAATAAACTAATTCGTTCAAATGATCAAAATTTATACATCACAAGCACGTGCGCGCGCATACACATACAAACATAAGCACGCGCACGCAAGCATATATATATATATATATATAATAAATTGCTAATTTGAAAGGAATTTTACGTGGTTTTGTATTGCATCGAAAAATCTTTAATGATTTTTGAGTATTTATTCTCGTACAAATTCAACTTATTACAACGTCACTTTAGGACTAGTGGAATCTGTTTTCATATAATTTTTCTTATTAAATGTGGTAAAGAGAAGCATTAATATGAAAATTTTGTTGTATAGCTTCAAAAAATCTCATAGACAATTTTAAACACAAATAAATGGACAATCGTGATATTAGTCGCAGTATTAAACCTCAAAAAAATGATTAAGAATAATATTAGTCTTACAGCTGTTAAATAGTAAAATTACAAGAAGCTAAATAATATGCGAAATTTCTATTTCTCTTTTGAGCGAACGTTTGCTTTTGATTATTTTTCAATTGCCATGACTAAAAAAGAAAATAATTTAACATTTATTTATTTGATTTCGCAACATCAAGATTTACATTGACATATTTTCCCGCCTTTCGCGTAATTCATCAGCCACGAGCTCGTAAAAGAGACAACGACGCGAGGTACGCAGGATATCAATATCACGATTATGTTGTATTTTATCAGAGTAACTACAATAAATACGAACTTGGTTTTTTTTTTTTTTTTGGGCTCGTCTTACATCGAAAAGGAAATGGAATAGGAAGCGAAAGGAGGAAAATATTGAGATAAACAGATAATTTGATCGCTAATTGAGCAATGACCTCACCATGCGGCGCTTATATAAGGTTGCGATCGTTTAGGGAGCGTCAGTATTCCTTTGCCACTTGAGCATAGACGATCGGCGCGTACAGATTCGAGATTTTCGTTACAAGTGCGAATGCAATGGGTTCCGCTCACTACGGTTTAGTGGCACTAGTTCTATTGGCTTATCATTATGGGAGTTTAGCGCAAATATCCACTTTTAGTAAGTTACAAGCGTTGAGGTTCTGAGTGATTTCGCTCTGGAAATCGTTTTGTCGGATGTGCTCTAAGAGAACAAAAAATGAAAAATGAAATGAAAAACGAAAAAAGAAATAGAAATATTCGACCAGTTGAAAGCGATCTTGAAAAGGACGTCCTGTGATTGTGAACAAAATATTTCCAGCTTTTTTAAATATTTTAATTACTCAAGAATTCTAATGCATGATTTTTGCAACGATTGTGTGTGCGAGTGCGTGTATGTGTTTGCGCGTGCACGTTGATCGCGCATTATAAGATCTCAAGTAAAAGCTTATTAAATATCTTCACTCGCACACTAATGAGCTTAAATTATTTCAAGTACAATAATTTCAATTACCACTGAGTACAAATTAATATTACTATTCGTTTTAATATTTATTAACAAATGTCTATTATTATTAAATGTCACGAAATAACTATATCACTAAAATTGTTGAAAGTACTTTTAACGATGATTATCCAAACTAGTGGAACTTTTTTACTTGAAATTTCTTTTAATTACTAATTGAATAAAATTGTGTATTCGTCATTTCTATCGTCATAATTTAATTGGCCTGTCATCTTATTTAAACATACTTTGTTTCATCCTATCTTATAAAAATTAAATTTTGTTTTGTTCCAATTTTGTTTTTCAATTGCGAACAATTTACTAAGCACAAAAAGTGATTCTAAAAAAATTTCTCATTTTTTATTCGACGATACAACGATTTTTTAATTCAATTATCCCCCTTTGAATGTTATCGTGAAAACAGTCTCTTTTTTCTTTTTTTTTATTAAAAAATAAATAATACGATTAAATTCGATTAAATGTGCTATAATTATTTATGTCAAATTATAATAATATCGAATGAATGCATTGTGTCGATGATTTATTCTCAAAGGATTACTTAAAGAAAGTTTAATGATATTCAATCGTTACGCGGTGACGTTATGCAGGACGAATCGGGCGGATGAAGAATTCGTATATGAAAATTTAGGAACGAAAGTTTTTCAATAAATGGCATCGTGTTAATTGTAAATGATAAATAATAAACGTAGAATTTATGAAAACATTAATACGTCACGATATAAGTATAAATAATGTATTGAGGTATTATTAAATGTAATGAGAGAATTTTAAGTAATTCGCGTAATAATTAATTTAATTTTAATATCTTATTAATGATAAAAGAACATGTGATTTACTAAGTTGTAACATACTAAAAACATAATATTTATACTTATATTCCACCCATTATGATGCTTATACGTACAATAATTGCGAAATATGATAATTCTTGAATGAATAATATATTAATTGCCTGAAGTATCAACACATTTTTAATACAAACGTAAAAAGTAGTCTTAAAATAAAGACTTTACCAAAGATGAGTCATATTAACAGTCTGAAAATTATACACTTTTACATAGTAACTCGACCCATTTAAGCATTCCATAAGTACATTGCTCAATTCATAAATACGTATAAATCAAAGGCTAAAGAATGCTTTTTCAAATTCGTCTCGGCTTCATTAGTATGAAAAGAAGATTTATCAGTGGAGAGACTATCCCTATTTGGCATGAGAAAATAATCACATAATCGAGAGGTTACTTATTCACTATCACTATCGGCAAGCATTCCTCGAGCCGTGCTAAACGTCGGCAAATTTTTATTGCCGATGGAAGGACTGTTTTTAACCACTTATCTTCAACGCCAGCATTCAAAAGCACACAATCAATCAATCAATCAATCAATCAACAACAATAACAACAACAACAACAACAACAACAACAACAACAACAACAACAACAACAACAACAACAACAACAACAACAACAACAACAACAACAACAACAACAACAACAACAACAACAAGCTCATACGTTACCAATATACGCGTCGCTAAGATGCTACGAATAATGAGAAACTTGATTTTTCAAATTGCAGGTGGAGGCGCACCCGGCGGACTTTTTGGCTCGGGCGGCGAAAGCGACGGCGAGCTCAGCGCCGGTGATAATTCTGGTTCTGCCGGCGAGTCGAACGGCTACCTGCCGCCTCTCGGAAGCTCGTCCTCTAGCAATGTGCCCGCTTTCTCTCAGCCCCCCCAGAAACCCCAGGGTACGCGTATGCAAATTACTTTTACTTTTTCGCGCTTACGCGTATCGTGTCGCCTCGATCTCCACCACCAACAAGCATTACCCTCGCGTTTAAGTCTTGTTTCTCATCTTATACACAACCATATCCACAACCATATCAACATCCACACACGTACGCACACGCACAGCTACGCTCAACTACGCGCGAGCGAATCGACGCTAGGCTTGCCCGCCGTGAAAGATTCTCGGTGAGCATAGTGTATAAAGGGTAGATCAAAAGCTTTCACCGAAGCTCGTCACCCTCTTGAGTGAAACACACCGGTTATAAGGACATTTCACGATAATTGCGAATTCGTCGTTTTTAAACGTTTGCCCCTCCAAATCTTACAAAATTCATAAGATTGCTGTTTATCGTTCTTTGCCACCCGAAAGCTTCAATTTTCTCTATAATTTTGAGCACCAAACATAAATGACAATTTTGACAGTATATAAATTCATTTTAGACTCCGGAAATGATATCGCACCCAGCAACAATCCCCAGCAATTTGCATTCCCACCAATACAACCGCAAGTCGGATGCGCAGCTGCCTTAATTTGCGTTGAAGAACAGTTTTGCAATTTGATCGGAACGATTAGTGAAACGCCAGTTGTACTTACCAAAGAGCAACTACTAAGACGGGTACCCCTAGTCGTAAGTATTATAATGTTGAAATAGAAAAATTATGAATTTTTGACAAATGCTATTATTACGCTTACGACCAATTTTTTACTTAAATTTATTACTCCGAAAATTGCTGATTAATAAAAAAAAAAAAAACAAGCAATTTACATACAAGCATTCACGATTCATATAAATTATCATAATACAATAATAATTAAAATTATAACTACAATTATTAATTGGATTTATTTTTATTTATTTATTTTATTTATTCGTTGATTTATTCGATTAATTATCGATGATGATACGTTGATGAAATCAATGAAAATTTTTTATCTATTTTTGCAAAATCAATATTATATCCGTTAGATTTAAGATATTTAAGTAATAATTTAACAATTTGATACTTTAAAAACTCAAAATATCAATAGAACGTCCAATGTAATATTAGAGTTGATTGTAAATCAGGATTCATGATAATAAGTAATAACGTAATGCAATGAAGTAATTTAATTCTTGTTGTTTTATATTTATAGGACTGTAAAAATCCCGACAATGGAATAATTGGCAAATGTTGTCGCGATCCGAACTACGTTGACCCTTGGCCAGCAGGAAATTTGCCCGCAAATTATAGCGGTGGCTTCGACGATCAGGGATTCCCTACATTTCTCAATCTTTCAAAGAACAAGCCGAAGAAGCCCGTCGTAAAGCCCAGCGAATCCTTCCAACAGCCATTCCAGTCCAACAAAAAGCAGCCCATTAAATTCGCCTCTCCTCAGCCACAAACTTTCTCATCGGTGAATCAAATATCCACTCACCTTCAACCCCAACCCAGTTTCCAGAATACAAAAGTAACAGCCGATCAGTTCAAGCCGTTCCAAGACTCTGCAAATACTCAACAGCAGCCACGACCATTTCAGCCTCAGAATTTTGAACGACCAGATGCATTTAAGCAACCACAACAGTTCCAACAACCAGACCTATTCAAACAGCCCCAACAATCCCACAAAGCCCAATTCTCAAAGAACTCGCAGTACCCCGATCAACCAAATCAATATCATCAATTCCAAAGACCCCAGAAAACTCAGCAACCCGAGGAAACTGGCAGATTTCAATTACAACAACCTCAACCATTCCAACAATCTTATAAGCCAGATCTATCCCAGCAATTATTACCCGTTGAATCTCAACGACCACAGCAATATAACAATCAGCCTGTGAAACTCAGTCAATCGCCACAAGTGGAAAAAACTTTCAATTTCCCGAGTTTGCCTGCCCTACAGGATATTCCTAATCAAATCACTAATCAGTTATCCAACCTAAACCCATTCAGACCTCAGCAACCCACCGAGAAACCCCAAGTAACCAACATTATTAATAACGCAGACAACATATTGCCTGTTAATTTGCCCTCGACGACTAAAAAGCCTGGTTTCTTCCAAAATTTCCCTAATTTGCCTAGTTTTCCTGGATTTGGAAAAGGACACGATAGCTCACCAACCAATGAAAGTCCAGTTATAATTTCACCTCATACACCTGGCGCACAGTGCGGAATAATCAACCAAGTATATTTGAACTCATTATTACTCAATTCTTAAATACACTCGATTCATCCAACTAATAAGCGTTAAATATAGTTATTGTTTTTTTTTTTTTTTTTTTTTTTTTTAATTCAATTACGTTATTTGCCCTTTCAAACGAATATTCAATAACAGATTAAGAAATTAAAAAAAAAAAAAAAAAACTAAAAAGAGAAAAAAATTTTCTTATTGACGATGTTACGGTTCAACCTCTGTTATGAAACAATTGAAATGAATATATGAACTCTCATAAAAATAATTTCATTAATAAAGGACGAAAAAATGTTATTTTATTATAATTATATGAAAGGTAAAATTTAAATTAAATTTACTTCTTTGACAATCTTTGTGTGCTATGTATAATGCAAATTTCAGAAGAACAAACTTTAAATGTAGCGATTACGTGTAGAATGCAACCCTAGTTATGTGTTTAACTACTTTAATACTCTCTCGTCAACCATCACTCGTAGACTATGGACATTCACTCCAATTTCTTCACTTCCAATTACCATGATAAATTAAATCGTTACAGGTGAAACAGACGGGCGTACGCAGCGACGTTGAAGTCGCTTTCGGAGAAATTCCCTGGCAGGCAATGATTCTCTCTAATACTGAGAAAAAGCTGCTTTGCTCGGGTGTTATTGTCGCACCCAATTTAATTCTCACCGCTGCTAATTGCGTTTACGGGTGAGTTTACTATAATATTATTATTATTAAGTAATTTCTAATTGATATGAAATATTGCATAGCTAAACTACGTAAGTAACTAATGTAATATTAATCGTTTAATATTTATCTTATATTGTAGTACCATAAGCATATTAATTTTACCTCTATTACATCAATGCTTTACTCAATAATTAATTAAAGTGAATATTATCTTTGTATTTGTTTTGTGCGTATACGTGTGCATGCGTTTTACGCGAGGTATGTGTAATATATGTACGTGCCATACTTAGAGTTAGTTCGATAATTGACATTAAATAAATTATTTCAGTCTGAATCCGGACGAAGTGTCGATAAAGGCTGGAGAATGGAAATTGGGCTACGATCTAAAGCACGAAGAACCCCTGCCCTTCGAGATCGTCCAGGTCGACTCGATCGTTCCTCATCCGAACTACCAACCTGGATCGCCCAGTTTCGACACTGCTTTACTCTTCCTGCAGAGCCCGATAAAACTTGATCTTCATGTAGACACGATCTGCATTGGTGACGCACCTGCTGTTACACCGCAGAGAAAGTGCATCTCAACTGGATGGGGCAAAACCATTTTACAGAGTATGTATTGATTTTCATTATTTCACATGTACGTCATCGATATGCTCACAGGTCACACTGTGTAGGTTCATGCATTTTCCTTACCCCTCGTTACGAAACGACTACTGTGATCTACTTCCCATGAACGTTATTACCATTTGTACATTATTATTAATTCGCTATTATTTCGATTTTTAGCTCATAATTCTATGGCTATTTATGAGTGTGAAATTAAAAAGCACTGTAGCTTGGAATTAATATTGTTTTTTTTTTTTTATTTTTACTTTACTATATTTCAATTATGAATTAAGAATTATGATTGATTATTCTTTATAATTTCAATTGAATCGTAACGTTTAGCGGAATAAAATTTAAAACAAATAATAATAATGTATTAAAATAATGTGTGTTCATAAACCTGAGTATAAGGTACTTGGCTGAATGATGCGTACGCAACGTACGTAGGTGGTAATGTAGGTCACCGTAAGTTTCCCACAGTTAAAGAAGATATGAAAATAATCCATTCTATTATTTACAAATAATATCACTTCATTACGGTAATGAAAAGCAATAGATAAATACAATGAAAGAGCCATATTTCAATAATATAATGATTAACAAACGAACAACGAGTGTGCCACGATTGTTACACCCCGTCTTATTTTTAACAGTTCACGCAGCCGGTGCGCTTATGCACAAGATAAACGTCGACGTTCTGAGCAACGCCCAATGCAGGCAAAGACTCCAGGTCGCTGAATCCTCCATTGACATCGACGACAGCCTCGTCTGCGCCAAGGCTCATAAACAAAACAACAACTTGTGCCAGGTCGACATTGGCGGTCCTCTTGCTTGCGACCGTGGCGACGGTAATTACGAGCTTGTCGGCGTTTACAACCAGGACACAGGTTGCCTTCCGACCAATCAGGTACATATATGAGCGTAGCGTGATAAATCAACTTTCTCGGGAAGTCGTGAAAGGGGACGGAGGTCGGTAGATGATCAAGAGCAGAAAGAGCAGGAGAGGCTTAATATAGAGTGGTACTACAGGCTTTCATGAAAGTCGCGTGGGTCCACTGCCTTCTCCGACGATTGTTTCTTAAAATACTTTATATTTTAATATCCAATGCCACATAATAATAATAATAATAATTATAATAATAATGATAATAATGATAATAATAATAATATCATAGGTACTCTCGTTAAAGGCGTTAGAGTCCATAGGTTCAGCAATATTTGACAATCGATCGTGGATATTTGAATCTGCTCGAACGAATTTCCTATGGAAGTGTTAGCGATTAGTTTTTCTTAATAATTGAATACTTTCATAGAGAATTTTTGCTTTTTAAATAATTCAAAACTCGTGATTCGATGATTTATGAATCTCTAACCTATAATGAGCACTCGTCAAAGTTCACAAGTCATTCAATTTAACTATTACATTTAAGTGTGACAGCCTAGAATAATTGACGAATATTACACGAATAGGGCATGTAAAATTTGCAACTCTACAGATTAACCGAGCAAACGAGATGTAGTCAGTTTTATTCGAATGGACATTTATGGCAATATGCAAAGCAATTTCACAAAGCTGAATAATCAGGCGATAAGTGGACTTATTAAAATACTTAAAAAAAAAAAATAAAAAAAAAAAAAATGCATTATGAATTTCTCGCGAGATCGATATCAAGCCCATAAATATTCAAACATCAAAATCGGTATACAATTACGAATAATGCTACAATGACAAAGCAATTTATAATAAAATTTAATTTGATATTCATTATGAAATATAGGCGAGCGAGCGCGCATAAATCACAATCAATAATCATAGAATAATTATGGCTGAAAATAGCAGGAGCGAACGGAGGCGAAACGAGTGTGCTTTTGAGTCTTGACATGCAAGTCCCATGTCCTTATAAATGCAACTCACTTCCCGACTTACCATTCCAACAATCACATTGCGCAAATCTAACGCCACCTTCTCCAATCTGTCTGGCTTCTCAGGTCGCGACCTTCGCACTCGTCGATACCAAGTGGGTCAAATCCATGATCGAATCACCGGCGGCTCCCCCGAGCCAAGCCATCTACGGCAGCAAAGCTACGCCCATCGAAAATCAACGTGCCCAGGAAACGCCCTCGCGTCTTCACTACCACCCTAGCCAACCCGACGTGCCCTGCGACTGCCAGCAGGGTACCTTACCCTCGGGTGCCAATCAGTATCTACCTCCAGTATAAAAAGCCTATCCTGAGCGCAGCGAATGACTGAGCAGCGATCGTGAGGATTAAGACGCAGCCTTTGACCAACGAAGTATATAAATCGCCGATGCAATAGCTACGGCGCTCCTTTTCTTCGTGTCGGGACTCTCGTGTTGTGTCTTTTTCTCCTTGGGACAGCCACCGTTGCCACGAAATAAACCAAGAGAGCGGGCTTAGAGTAATTTCTTAGATAATTTCTTATTATAGCCTATTGGATGCCTTGTATGTCATATATCGAACAGTGCATCCGTTAGTTTCGATTGTGAATTTCACATTTTGCTTTGGTTGAGGCGCGTTTTATGACCCAATTGAAAACCGAATGTAGGTTGAATCGTAAATTGCAATCACCGAATTAACCGAGATTCGGAATAAGAGCCCAAATTCGCGTGTCCATTTATTTATTCTAAGTTTCGTTTTCTCTTTGAATACAATACCGGAGCTGGGGAGCTGGGGAAAAACAATTGTTAATATCCTAAGAAATAATATTCTTTATATTGTCTGTTAAACTATATGATAAGCAATTTTAATAATACGAGAGAAATTCTATACAATATATCTTTTACCACGTGTTCAATAATGTAGTAGAAAAATATTTTTTTTTTATACACGCTAAAAAGTTAACGGGACTTGTAACTTTAACATAATTTTTTAAATTTATTTATAAAATTGTATCACTTGTATTATATACGTATTCGCATAAGTATATGTATGAAAATAGAGTGAATTTTTATAAAACTGTTAGTGCTATATTATCTCGTATAGTCGTAGATGACGTTTTATCACAAACCCGCAGAACAAGTTTAATTAATACCATCAAAGGTACTATTTATTAGTTCTTAATGGATTATTCCCAAAGTTTTGACAAACTGACATACAGTAAATTAATGTCTCTTTATAATAATAATAATAATAATAATAATAATAATAATAATAATAATAATAATAATAATAATAATAATAATAATTTGCAAAAATTTTAACAAATTCATCTATTTTCAATTGAAATAGGAGAGTGAAAAAAATATGAGCACACAAGCGCACACGAGACTTATAATATACGAAAGTACTTCATATAATGCGAATCGTCGTATCGATTTACTAAATCATGTTTGCATGAATAGAAAAATTATTCATTAATCTTCGTAAAGTGTAAAAAAATTCAGTATATTCAATAAGATTACTATTATAAGCTCGAATTAAAAGTTAAATCGTTTCTGCTTAAATTTAAGATTACGTTAACATTAACTACAAAAGACATGTAATTTTTTTTTTATTCCAAATGTATGTACAATCAAATGCACTGTTATATTTCTTATATATAAATGTAAATTAAGTAACTGTGATACAAAACAAAAATTTGTTAGATTCAATTTTTTTTAACCATTTAATCCTTACGACATTAATAATAACAAAACATTTTAGAATATAAATTTACATTTCCTGATAGAAACTGATGGCTTCTGTGATATATATATATATATATATATATATATATATATACATACATATTAATATCACAATACAAGTCATTACAGAAAATTTAAGCTCACATAATAGTACTGAAAACACTAGCAGCATACGTTTTATATATATATATATATAATCCAGCAATTATTTTTAATCAATTTTTAATGCATAATTTATATAATAATATTTTATTTTATTATAATTTTATTATAAAATAAAAATTCCATACATGTTTATTATTAAATTTTACTTATCCGTTAGAATAAGTATTATAATCTAATTACAAAAGGTAATTATCGCTAGAAGCACATCTTATTTTGTAAATACAATTTATAATCTACACAGTAGTAAAAATGAAATTTAGAACAAACAACGCATGCGTACATATAGTTTTATACAAAATCATTGACGGTTTATTGAGATTTCTACATTATCGGCTACATCCCACATATTTATTAAGTAAGTATAACTTATAACTCAAGTTAACATAATTCGTATATCGGCTGATGGTACATAAAACTAGAAAAATTGACGATTATCCGATACGAAGGATTTCTAATATAAATTATTATCGATATTAAAATACGTTTATCAATTTTCTGTTTCAAAATATATAAATGAATTATTTATCTATAAACAATGAGTAGAAAGTAATATTTTTCACATACAACAAATTTTATTGTAAGTTTTATTTGAATAATATCTATTACAACTTTTCATCTAATGAAAATGTCTTTATTTGTAAACTTCATAGCTATAAAATATTTGCAAAAAAAAAAATCACAATCATATTTAATTTTTTGAAAAATAATATTGTTAAAAATTTTATTCCTACAATATTAAATATATTGTTTCTTTTTATTCTTTCAATCCTATTTTTATAGCAATAAAATAATTGGTAAAGTCATTCCAGAAATGTGCATTAATGTTCGTAAAATATTTACTTTATTAAGATAATGTATTAAGATACTGTGATAATATATAAAAATTTATATTATATAAAATGTAGGAAATTGTAAGTTAAAAATTTATGTAACAATGAGTTTTAATGAATTTAATTATGATATGTAAAAACATAATAATTTTAAAATATAGAAAATCTCAAAAGAATGATATAAAACTACAGAAATTCTATAGAATATCTTGACACATTGACTTACTGCACAATTATCTCATATTTATAGTTTTCGTAAATAATTACAATACTATATGATTTTATTCTTTTGTATTTCCATGAATTAAATTAAAATTAAAGGAATCTGTGTATTTATAATTCTTAATTTTAATCTATTCTCTTGTATATAAAATACATTTTACATAATCTATTAATTCCACGACCAAAGCACGTGCATATAAAAAATTATATACGTCATACGTCATGTGTATGCATGTCAAGAAAAGAATTACGTTCGTTTATTTTTTCATAATATTGTAAATTCAACAAATTTCCATATATATCTAAGAATATATAAACATTATTCTTCTGAATTTGATAATACCAAATATATAAATTTATAATTATAATTAATCATAAATTCTTTTTAAATGTTTTCTTAAATATATTGAAAAACTTATATTTCACTGCTATAGTATTTTATTTATTTTACAAAAAGTATAAATATTTATTCTTATTATCTTTCTAAGGGTATAAAGTAATTGTTGGCTTAGTAAATGCGAGAAACTTGAAACCAAAACTTGGATTAAATCAAAATTACAATTAATTTATTGAGAATCGATAATTTTAACAACCTTTCACACAAAATAAATTGCTTAAATTCACAATGATGACGAATATTATATTATCGTTTAAAAATTTTTTTTTTTTTTTTAATGAGAAATGTTTATTTAAAAGCTTGTAAAAAAAAAATAGTTATACATAAATGATTGATTGTCGCCTTATAATAAATACAATGCGACTAACATGGCACTCGCGATAGCGCAAAAAAACTTTTTCATCATTCTAATCATTTTTTTTTTTTTTGTTTATTTAATTCCACAGCCATAGCACGTGTTACTATTTATTTTTACATTCCCTATTCATAATTCCATATTCATGCAAGGATAATTTTAATTTACCCCTTTCTTACAATCTATTTTTTCGTCGTAATGAAGCACAGAAAATATCAAATATCTGCATGAATTATGACATTATTGTATCTAGAAGGGAATAGCTATATATACAAATTTTCTTGACAATTAGTATTATTTAAGAAAAGCGAAACAGAAATCTTTTATTTACACGTAATTTTCGGTTTACTTATCGAACGCATCTGAATAGATTTTAACAGATAAATGCCTACTAAAACTAAAATTATTTTGTTTCACATTTCAAAAATATACTATTATTTATAAATAGTTTCCTAAATCAATGGACAATGCATTGCTTGTTATAAAAAATTCATTTAAAAACATTATTTTAATTATTTTATTTTTCAGATGCCGCAATTGTCCCATCGCAATGGTGAATCAATTGTATATCTAAAATCTACGCTGAAAATAAGTTTCCAACATGACTGCAAATTATTTCATACATTTCTTCATTAAAATTATTTATAAAAGTAAAATACGTTTAATTTATTCCCTATTCGGCTATCGAAAAGAAAAAATTACCCTCTCAAACAGTCTTTAATAGCTGTCGACATAAAATCCTTAAAATTTATCCTTGACCAGCTTATTTAAAAATGCTTATCTTCGAAATTACCTACTTTATGCACTAAAAGTTAAGTGGTTTACCGAAATATTTCTTCAATTCCATTTAAAAGTCTATAAATAAAAGTTATTAATGATATAATACATTTAGCCTAGTTATCTGTTGCGCAATTTATTTATAAGTTTTATGTTTAATATGTACATAATTGATCATTGCATGAAAAGCTTTTAAATATTTTTCAATTGATGTTAAATTTAAATAATAAACAATTTACATGTTTGCATTTAATTTCAGCCAATTCAATCGCTCTGTTAATTATTCCAATGATTCATATCAAAATTAGTAATAATAATTACTTATGATTGTATTAAAGTAAGTTATATTAATTACAAATTTAATTAAATTTTTGTTAAATCCTATGATCATAATGAATTGGTTGGAATCATCGATCCAAAAGTTTTACTGACCATATGATTTCATATTCAGATACATTATTAGATAAATATTATTTTATATATCATCAAAAGTAATTATATGTAAATTAAATATAATTCTTTAATCTATAGCCAATTGATTAATTGATAAATTATAATCGATTACACTTCAAAATACTCGAATAAGCATAATAAGAAATATTGTTCAGTTTGATACATTTTTTTTTTTAATTTTTCTTTTCGATAGAATAATTTCGCGACCAACAATTTGACGTATAAATAAAATTCTTATAGCCTAAATTATTAATAATAATAATAATAATAATAATAATAATAATAATAACAATAATAATACAAAATATAAAATACATAAAGTATGAAAAAAAATCAGCAATGTATTATTTTTATATTATATGTTAAACAATTTTTAATTATATAAGCTATAATTAATACTAATAGTATGCCAAATTTACAATTCATAATCCTAAATTACGAAAATATGTTTATCTAAAAATGAAAAATATCTAAAAAAAAAAAAAAATGTATAAACAGTTTCAATTGTTTATTTTTTGTTAAGATTGCGGTGTCGAAAAACCATTCGGTAATTGGAAAAATCGATTTTCCTCACAGATCGTTGTGCGACACACGAGACTTTTAATTGAATGGCATAAACCATTTGCTTTTCATTGTCACATCGGAAAAATAATAATATCATTTTAATTTTCACACATCGCGCTACTCATATAAAAATTGCACTAGAACAAAAACGTCATCCAATCAAAGCAATATTAACTGAGGTATAAATTATTTCCACTACGTGACGATATCTTTTAATCTCGTCGGAACTCTCTAGACACTTACATTGAACGAACGCACGGCGATAAAAAAATAATTTTCTTATACCTACTTCAACTATCCGGCACAATAATAATAATTACAGCAATAATCATAATAATAGTAATAACAACAAGAATAATAATGATAGTAGTTGCCGTAGTAGTGGTAGTACTACTAGTACTTGTAGTAGTAGTGGCAGTGGTGATAATTGTAGTTGTTATAGTAGTAGTGGTATTAGTAGTGGTGGTGGTAGTGATAG